CCAGAGCTCATAGTCATAGCTAACTAGGGGCACTTAAATACAGGGTTGAATATGGTGGCAAGGATGAATCAGTCCTTCCTAACAGGTGTTTATTTCTTTTTAAGCTTATTCCCTGCCCTCAGGGGAAAAAACAGATTGAGAGAGAGAGGAGGAAAGAGAGAGTGAGTAAGAGAGAGAGAGAGAGAGAGAGAGAGAGAGAGAGAGAGAGATCTGCAATCTGCTGGTTCACTCCCCAAATGGCTACAGTGAACAGGGCTGCACTGGTCTAAAGCCAGGAGCTTCTTCCAGATCTCCCACTTGGGCGCAGGGGCCCAAGAACTTGAGGCATCTTCCGCTGATTTCCCAGCCCATAAACATACAGCTGGATCCAAAATGATAGAGCAGGGACAGGAACCAGCAGCCACATGGGATGCCCGCACTGCAAGGTGGAAGACTAGCCTGTTGAGCCACAGTGCCATCCTCTAGGTATTCACTCCTACAAAGAAATGGAGCAAACTGTATTTGACAGGACTCCAAAGTTATGAGCAGTTCCTGCCTGCACCCCATGGCCTACGGTAAATCGAATGGGGCACAGTCTACAGGGCAGGAGTTTGGGGATGTTTGTGACACCCTCATCCTACATAGGCATGTCTGGCTTTCATCTGTGCTTCTGCTAACCCCATGAGAGGCGTGGATTGAATGTGGTCCTCAGTATTGCAGGCATCTGGGGAGTGAGCTGATGGAGGAGAGCTCTGTGTCTCTGAAATTTTTTTTTTTAAAAAGGGGGTGGGAGTCAGGGAGCAGCTTCCATGTACTGAATGCCACTGGAGTTGTTAGGAGCTCAGGTTTTAGGAAGTGATGCCTGAATCTGAATCTGCCTGCTGCTGATTGGCGGAGCCACAGGGCTTGCCAACTGTCAAATGGAGCTAACAATAACTTGAGCTGGAAAGGGTGGGTGAGCTGCCACCCAGGAAGTGCTCCAGGTGCAGTTGCAAATGCTTTGGAAATTTTTCTTGCAAGCACTGTGTGCGCTGAGCTCCCCCAGGTGCTCTTACCTGGCTGCATCTCATGGACACGAGGACCCTATGGGAAGGTGCATTTTACCACCCTCCCATTTTACAGCAGAAAAAAAATGAGGCGAAGAGAGGCTTCGTGCTGCATCAGAATCAAACTGTGACTGATTCTTCGCCTGTGTAACTTCCTGTTATAACACATGGCTCTCTGGGTGAACACATACACACACACAGAGAATCCACAACACTACATCAAGTCAGGATTCACAGACCTACTTATGACTGGAGCACAAAATGGCAATAACTCAACTTCCTCATCTGGGGTTTCCAAGTGTCTTTCTTTCTTTTTCTTTTTTAGATTTGATTTGGATGATGTTTACATAGCTGAGAGGGATGCATGCCCATGTGGACCACCGACCAGAGTGGGAAAGGTCGAGGAGTCCGAACATCATGCTTTGGCATCTTCTCTCAAGGAAAACAGCACACAGTCCTGAATACACAATAGGCCTTCAATGAATACTCCCTGGATTTCCATGGAAAATGATGGAAGGAAGTGGAACTGTGCCCTGAGTCAGAATTCTTGATCAAAAGAGCCGATACCCCATGCGTATCCTGAAGCGTTCAAAGCCTAGCCTCACACAGAGAGTGTTTTCTGGAGACAATGGCAGTTTTGATCTCAAGCTAAATATGTCTAATCTCATGAAAGGTGCCGTGTGAGTGGAGACCTGGGCCTCCAGGTAGGGCTGGGGGATGGCCTCCTCTGCTGTTGCTATAAAACCTGAATGGTGAGATGCTCTACAACTGTAATGTCAGGTTTGGGTTTGCTTTCTGTTCCTTTCTGCTTTTTAAAAATTTATTTATTTTTATTGAAAAGGCAGATCTATACAGAGAAGAAAGAGATACAGAAAGATCTTCCACCCACTGGTTCACTCCCCAAGTGGCCACAATGGTCAGAGCTGAGCTGATCTGAAGCCAGGAACCAGGAGCTTCCTTTGGGTATCTCACATGGGAACAGGGCCCCAAGGCCTTGGGTCATCCCCTACTGCTTTCCAAGGCCACAAGCAGGGAGCTGGAAAGGAAATGGAGCAACTAGAATATGAACCAGTACCCATATGGGATCCCGGTACCCATAAGGTGAGGACTCTACCCACTAGGCTACTGCACTGGGCCTCTGCTTTCTGTTCTTTCCAGAGGTTACAAAGGTACCACAGCATGGCTGCTATGTTGGCATAGACCTGGGTACTGCCAGTCATCCTAATGCTGTTTCTCATCTAACAATCAGAGTGGTGCAGGTTGGCAACCTTGCTAAGGAGGAAAAGTTTGGGAGAATCTGTGCTTGTGACCAAAGCAAATGGGGTGAGGAATCCTTAACTATCTCATTTATTTATAAGAACTTTTATTTATTTATTTAGAGAAAAGATACTCCCATGTGGCTGGCTCATAGCCCCCAAACACCTGTAAATGGCCCCAGCTGGGCAAGGGCCACTGCTGGAGCTGGGAATGTCCTCTGGGTCTCTCACATGGGCAGCAGGGTCCAACGACTTGAGCCACTACCTGCTGTTTCGCAGAGCACGCCTTAGCAGGAACCTGAGGTTCGCAGCAGAGTTGGGAATCTAACCCAGGAGCCCACCAGGGAGACACGGACTCAGCACTGTCACTTCTGGTCTGATGCCCCCTCTGATCTCTAAGTATTTTTGTTTATTTGTTGATCCCTGTGTATGACAGAGCCTAAATATGCATTTTTTTAATATCTTGATTTAGAGACAGGGCTAGAGATTATGGCAAGAGTTAAACTCCCATGACCTCCCAAGGGAAGTTGGAATTTAATTCTTAGTCCGGGCCTACCAGGGAGATTGAATTTATTCCCGCATAATGAGAATCGTTTTGTGGTCCGGGTGATAAGAACAGGTTCTGAGGTTAAGGAAGTGTGTAGATAACTTCTCAGTGGCTAAATTCTAAAGCTTTCTGATCTCTGGCAAGTTAATTGGCCTGTTGAGCCTTTGTTGTCTCATCTGTCTAATGGAACAACCATGGCACACACCTCAAAGGCATGTGGAGGGGATGATACAATGCAGAGTGAGGTTTTTAACTCAGTACTGTGGGCTCTGCACTGGGGCATACAGGAGACATCCAATGAATGCTGGTGATGACTGCTGCCCTCTAAATAGCTCTACTACTGCAGTGGCTCCTGTAAATGTATTACTGTAAGATATTGTATCTTTTTCCATGCATCTATGAGGGTGCTTCAAAAATCCCATGCACATAGACTTCAAGGATAAGTTTTGTTGCAAAAACTTTGAAACCCAGGGATAGGTTGTTTTCGTTATTCACACTATCCACAAACTCGCTGAAAACCTATCTTGCGATCAATATTTACAGTGGGGAGGATGGTAGGTACAGGTGTTAGGCCTAGAGGGTAAAGGATGTGGGGAATATCCATTTTAGCCCTGACTCTGGGTATTTGTTAATGCAGATACTGGGAGCTTCACATAATTGGGTTCTTGTTACTCCATGTGGAGACCTGGATTGAGTTCCTAGCTCCCGGCTCTGGCTCAGACTAGCCCAGACCACTGCAAGAATTTGGGTTGCAAACAAGCAGATGAAATTCTGTCTCTCAAAAAAAAATTTTTTTTAAGAGATCTACTCAGCGTATTTGCTGTGGTCGGAAGCTGTGGTCCCCAAGGCCAATGGAAAAGCCTGCTCCTTCAGCCTAGGCTGGGGAATTATTTGCTGTAGCGCTCTGTTTGACTTGTTAGTGCAGGGATTTTCAAGAATATGAAAAAGCAGAGATAAGCATAAAACTAGATAAGAGTGGAGATGAATCTCAGGGCTGGTCTCCTAGCTTCCCAGCCCCATCCCACACCAGCCTGGTTCCGCGTGCATCACTGCTCAGCTTCCAGGCCTGGCATCCTACTTCCTTTTCTAAGGCAAATGGTATAGTTTACAGCAGTGGAGAGCCCATGCGCCCTGCAGAGCTGGTTACCACAGCTGTATCCCCAGCTGGCGCAGAAAGACAGACATCGTGAAGCCACTGAGCTGGGTGACCTCAGAGGGCTCCATCATCCGCCAGTGACAACCAGGCAGGGGGTCCTGTGGATGGCCATAAAGGCTGCTCTGCTGCACCAAGAGCCCTGCCACACACAAGCAGAGGGATGTAACCAGAGGGAACAGGCCCATTCCCTGGTGAGAGAGGGCCAGTCCAGGCCTTGTGCTGGGACTGTCACCCTGTACCCTCATGGACTGTAGGGACCTCCCAGTTGGCTCCATTCACCTGTGTACCTGGGTCTTACCACTCACCATTGCTTTCCCAAAGTTACTATGTCAGGCAAATCATCCAAAATTTCTGATCTCTGGGCATATATAAACTTCAAGCTTCAGCCTTATCCTGTGGCTCTGCCTCTCCCCTAGCAGGACATCAGTAACAAGGGAATAACCACAGATGGGATTGTAAGATTTCCCACCTACCAGGTCCCAAGCTAGGGTTTCTCACTGCAAGGCTGCTGTGGTCTCACAGTTACAGATGAGGACATGGAGTTCATGTGTGCGAAAGTGCACAGCGCAGCGCTGGACAGTTACTGCATGCTGGCTGTGGGTTAACCACCACTTTCCATAGCTGGGAGGCTTCCCAACAACAGACCCACAGCTTGAACCCTGGCCAGCTGGTGGGGGTGGCATCAGTTGCCTTTCCAAGCAGTGCCTGTCCTGCCAGATCAGCCACTCAAGGCCTCGGCTAGAGAGCTGAAGTTGGAAAGGCACATAGATGGACACGTCGAAAAGACAGCACACAGCAAGTCTGCGATGGTGAGTGGTGAAATGGAGGGGATGGCTCTACAACGTTTGCACAGAGCACCAGGACACTGCAAGGACAGAGTGTGCGGACATATTCCCCCAGCTTGCTATCCCACTGGGGCTTTGTCAGAGTTGAGGATGAGCCATGTTCAGCCAGGGTCAGTGAGACCCAGGTTGATTGCTGCTGCTGCCGTGGCTGCGAGGATGGCCCCTGCTTACCTCTTGGCTCTGTCTTTCTCATCTTCATCCATGAGATTTTCTATGCAGTTTTTTCTGTAAAATAAATAAATAAATAGAAAGAGATCAGATAATTACTGTTTCTGCATCTTTCTGGTTGTTACCATTTTGGTCCTGTCTAATCCACAGGTCTTAGTTCAGTGTTCTCAAACACCTTGGAAGCAGCAACATTTTTTTTTTTTCAATGCTTGCAGCATTTGCCCTGGTACTCACACACACGTGAATTAAACCTGGAAAATGTTTAAATGCACAAACATCCACCACACAGGGCATCAGAGTGGCACAATCATTGGTTGTCCAGCAGCTTCTAGAAATGAGAGAATGAGTGTTAACAAATGTGCTAATGATACTATGAATGAAGGTTTGGATCCACAGATAATGCTTTGAGAACCTCCTCTGAGCCCCTGTTACATGAAGCAGCGTCTGCGTTTCTCATGCCTGTAACCAGAAAGCCCCTCCTGGTGGCTACTTGGGATCTGTCAGTGAGATTATACCAGGCCTCACACAGATGGTGGTTGGCACTACACTCTAAAGCTGGTATTTATTTCTCCATTCATTCAAATGCACGTGTGGCCCTCTGACACACAGCCTTGAGGGATCAGCCCCAAAGGAGAATGACCCATGCCACTCCCTTAAGGAATACACACTTCCTTAGGCAGATGTGAAAAACGAAGAAATGATGCAGGACTGTTCTCAGAGCCCCCCAGTCACCAGAGGCTAACCCAGAGTCTCTGCTCTTTCAGTCCGCTGGCTCACTGCCTCACAAACCCATTGGTGCAGTTTCCTCGTCCATCCTATGCAAGCCTGGGCTTTCTTTCCTCATCAGAAGCTATGTCCCTGATTCCTTCTCTCATTCATACATTTCTCATAGTCCTGTGTGTCTGGGTATTCTGTGTCCATCCAGGACACCAAACAGAAACATCTCCAGCTTCCCAGAGCCTACTGGGGGAACTGAAGGCAAGTCACCACAGTGGAGAGGGCCCAATGTGACTGAGACAGGGTGGGGAACCTCAGAAAGGGTGGTGTCACTATTGCCATGTGCTTCTGTTCTCAAGCACAGAGGGTCTGAGGTCAGAACGCCAAAGCCAACACTGTGCCAATGCACCAGCAGCCACTCGCGAAACTTTTTAGATAAGCAAAAAAATCATGGAGCCAATGCATATTTTTTGCTTGGCATTGTGATTTTGGACACCTGCTTGCATGATGGGTTCAGGTCTGAGCCAAAGCAAGGAACAGAAATTCTGCAGCCACAGCACCTGCTGGCATCCATGTCATAGTTAGTTCATGGCAGACACTGAGTGGAGACGAACTTACAAGAAGCATCACTTAGGAGTTGAGGTTCACACCATGGTTAAATGGGATTAACACATCTGCCAACAGGCCTGCACTTAATGTCTTCCAGATGGATTCTGCTCAAAGCCTTATGACATGAAAAAAATGATGTTGATTCACCCCATGATGCTCTACTCCAGGCCTGTGGTCTCAAGGGAGTGGTGGCTGCCCAAGTGCCCAGGGTAGCAGTAAGGACCCAGCCGAGATACATCCCCTCCCAGAAGTCCCTGGATAGAGCCTGCTCATAGAAGGGCTGGGCTGTCTGAGGTTCTGAGATCCTGTTTGGATGCCTGGGGTGGCTTAGTCATAAACAAAACATCTGAAAATGACTAATAGCTATTCTTTATCAACCACACTGTCCCCGATTTGTATCTGTTTGTACTGAAACATTTCCGGAATCCATCAAGCCTGTAAGATTGACACCCACGTCCTCTCTTTCCTCAGCACCCCAGGCCCTGCTCTGAGAGCCCTCTCGCTTGACCTCTGCTGCAGTCTTCTGGCTGAATGGCTGCTGCTGTGAAGAGAAGGCACTGGGTGAGTCCACAGGCGGCACTTGCCATGGAAACACCAGCCGCTGCACTGTGGGGCCATCTCTGTTGTCTTCCCCCATGCCTGTTGAACTTTTAAGGATACTTGTGAAGCATGAAATTGCATACTACAATGTACCATCCTAGCCCTTTGTAAGAGCACAGTTCAGGCGCCCTGGGCACATTATGCAATCATCGCCACTGCCTAGAATGCTCTTCATCTTGCAAAACTGGACATCTGTATCTGTTCATCTCTTACTCTCCATTGCTCCTCACTCATGCCAGCCATTTGACTTTCTGCTGCTATGAATCTGACTTCTCTAGGAACTGCATGTAAGTGGAGTCACGCAGCATTTGTCCTCTTGTGACTGGCCTATTTTCTTTAGCACCATGTTCATCTGTGCCGGGGTATGCGTCAGAATTTCTTTACTTTTCAATGACTCAGTATTATTCCATTGCATAAAGATGCCCTGTGTTGTTTATTCATTCATCCATGGATGGACACATGGGTGGCTTCCAGCTTTCAGCTAGCTTGAGTCGTGCTGCTGTGTACATGGATGCCACTCTACTCACTGTCTCACTTCATATTACAAAGGAGCCACAGAGGCATGAGGCAGATGAAGGAAGACAAGAATTGAGGAAGAAAGAGAGTCCCATGAGGTCAGGTTAAGGTAAGACTAGAGGCAGATAAATCTATGGTAGGTTGAAGGATGCTAAGTTCATTGACTCTACCTGACTCAGTGAACACCACAGATACTGCAGAACACTGGTGATTCCCTCATGGTCTCAGAACTGAGAGGAGCTACACCTGCCAGCATACAGAAGAGGCTTTTCGGCAAACTCATTGTGCTACCGTACGGTAACCTACTACTGGCGACATCTGAATGTCACATGAAATACTGGGAAGTGAGTTCTGCCTCCACTTCCCATTCTAGCAAGCAGCAGAGACGGCTCAAGTGCACGGATCTCCAGTAGACCTGGCTAAAGTTCTCAGTTTCTGGGTTCCACCTGGCCCAGCCCCAAGGGACAGAATATCTGTCTCTCTTCCTCTTTCTTTCACTGTTGTTTTGCTTTTCAAATAAAAAAAAATACACACACAATTGGTTCAAGTCCAGCACAAACTTCAAATCAGAATTCAAAGTATGATATCTATCACTTTGGCACCACGGTGAAGTTGAAAAATCTTTTTTTTTTTTTTATTAATTGCATTGCATTATGTGACACATGGCAGGTCAAGAGCTCTCTCTACCTCTTTCTTAGCAGTTATTGTAACGAGTTTCCACTGAGAATGATTCTATGCAGCTCTGTTTTTAAAAAAGATTTATTATTATTTTTTTTTTATTGGAAAGGCAGATATACAGAGAGGAAAGACAGAGAGGAAGATCTTCCATCTGATGATTCACTCCCCAAGTGAGCGCAACGGTCGATACTATGCCAATCCGAAGCCAGGAGCCTCTTCCGGGTCTCCCACGCGGGTGCAGGTTCCCAAAGCTTTGGGCCGTCCTCGACTGCTTTCCCAGGCCACAGGCAGGGAGCTGGAAGGGAAGCAGGGCTGCCGGGATTAGAACCGGCACCCATATGGGATCCCGGGCGTGCAAGGTGAGGACCTTAACCACTGCGCCACTGCGCCTGGCCGCAGCTCTGTTTTTATGAGCAAGGGGTGCCAGAGAAAATCCTAACTGAAGGTAGAGGAGCACCTGCTGGTGTGAACCAACTGTGAGAAGTGGTTTCTCCAGGTAGCCATATAGTCTACAGCGGTCAATCCTTCCCCAGGTTGATCAGCCAGCAGCCTCACAGCAAATGGGTGGCTAGGCTGCACAGAAGAGAGAGGGCTGACTGACAGAGGAGCTCTGTGCCAAGCATGGACACTGGGACCAACAGGGACGGTGCAGTCACCCAGGGTTGGAATGGCAGAGTTGTGAGCACCTCTGAGGGTGAAGAGACAAGCTGGACATGATTTTGCAAACCTGGAAGGAGTGTATCTCCTCCAGAGAACTGTGATGGAGGTGCGCAGCCAAGAAGGGAGCCAGGGGAATAAGTGTCCTCACCTCGTTCATGGCACCTCCAATGTCACACACGTGTCACCTATTTGCTGCTCTACCCAAAAGCTGGGGACAGCAGCTTAATTGTGCTGTTGGGGACACATGGAAGATACACAGAACATCTCAGAATCTCATCTCTTAGCGATTCTTCTAGTTCAGGCTTTCTTGGATTTTCCTAAGACACACACTCTTGGAGTCATTTAAAACCTGATTACAGGGCCCAGCGTAGTAGCCTAGCAGCTAAAATTCTCGCCTTGAACATGTCGGGATCCCATATGGGTGTCGGTTCTAATCCTGGCAGCCCTGCTTCCCATCCAGCTCCATGCTTGTGATCTGGGAAAGCAGTCGAGGATGGCTATACCCTATACCCACATGGGAGACCTGGAAGAGGCTCCAGGCTCCTGGCTTTGGATCGGTTCAGCTGTGGCCATTGTGGCTACTTGGGGAGTGAGTCATTGGATGGAAGATCTTTCTCTCTCCTTGTCTCTGTATATCTGACTTCGTAATAATAACAATAAAAAGAAATAGAAAATATTAAAACCTGATTGCACTTGCCCAGATTCAGTGTCAAAGGCATCTACATCTGGCAGCTAATTACACAAGAAATAATGATCAGCAATAATGATGACAGCCAGAGGCAAAGAGAGGTTGAGAGGGAAGTCTGGAATAGTTTGAACCGCAGAATAAGTAACAATAATGCTGATTATAACCTGTGAATGATGATTCAATCCATGGCAGGTTGCACACATGACAGTGGTACCCTAAGATTATAACGGACTGGGAACTTCCTATCACTGGGTGATTCTGTAGCCCTCCTAAGGTAAGATTATAGCATATGGCATGACTTACGCTGGTCTAAACATGCCTACTGCACTGCCATTCACATAAAAATATAGTATCTACACAAATAATGTGCATGACATATCACCAGACAACAAAGCAAAAAGATCATTACTGGCTATGCATGTACTATGCTACATTGTCAGTTCAGAATGTACTCCTACTTGGAAAATGGTTACTATAAGGCAGTGTGCCATGTTAGGCGGCATCAATTCCATACATGGGTACTTCAGAAAGTTCATGGAAAATAGAATTAAGAGTTAATTTTGGTGCAAAAGTTGAACTGCATGTGCAG